TACCCCCTTCTATTAAGGTTTTGCATGCGCGAAGCACCCTTAATCGTCTAAGATGATGGCAGTGGTTTGTACGCGCGTGTTGTGCGGATCTGTCTTCATTTTTTCACCCCAAAGTCGCAGAAATGACTGTTTTACCCTTAACATCAGCCATTATTAAAAATTCATATTTTGTTGCTCTTAGGATTCGAACTCGGGCCAAAAGCTTAATAGGGAAGACTTAAAACCACTGTACCAACATCATTTTATGTTACACATATCCAGTACACATTTATTTAGGACAATAGAACAGAGGAAACTTAATATAAAAATTAGATAGCTTAAAACCACTGTACCAACATCATTTTATGTTACACATATCCAGTACACATTTATTTAGGACAATAGAACAGAGGAAACTTAATATAAAAATTAGATTGAATAAAAGTAAATGTTAAATTTGAAAATAATAAATAAATATATTACTATTTGATGGGTCTACTTCTAGATCAGAAGAGAACCGATGGATTTGAGCTCAGATCTGCTTGAACCGCCTCTGAATCGTTGCTAGACCGCGAGAATACCTGAAAAAACTCAACGCCGGAGGTGTTTCCGGAGTAGAGCCTCTGACGCTCAAGTCAGTATGAGAGAGATGGAGTGATGCTGCGCAGCAGCTATGAGGAGTGTGTGGAATGAATGAGAGTTAGGGTTTAGGGTTACCTCATCTCTTTTATATAGAAGTGAATACTTACTTGAAGTTCCCGAAATGCCCAAGTCGGTGGACCTAAAAGGTCTAAATTACCCCGGTCGATTCGTCTCCCCTCCTTGCTGAGTCATCTCAAGATTCCTTCTTATCCATTGAAGGACAAGAGGTTCCAAGAAACATACCAAGTGTATGGAATCGTCAGAATGCCTCTCGACTCGAGGTACAAGGAGTCGACATCAAGTATGAACGAGTCGACCTCAGATCTTCTGGTTATTCGGAGGCTACGCTCTTGTTGATCTTCTCAGATAGATGTCGACTCGACGACTTCAAGGAGGTCGACTGAACAATGTCGACATATGCAAGTCGACTTGTATGGGATCTGCCGTTTCTCATCATCAATCCTGTTAAGAGTCGACCTGGAGGACGTCGACTTGAACATGTCGACGAGTGCATGTCGACATGCCGAATGGTTTGAGCCACTAATTGGTCGAGTAGGGAGCCTTTGGGCCAGTATATCTTTATATGGCTATATCACTATTTAATATAAAAACAAAATGATAATTTCATTTTAATAAATTAATAATATAAATGTAAAATAAATTTTAGTATAAAATTTCAATATACGTTTTAATGAATTGACGTAATATAATCTGTATACATTATATTAAATATAATTTATAATAAAATTAAATGATTAATTAAATTAATTAAATTTATGAACCGTGAACTAGAAGCTTTCTCTTATTTTATTTATTTTTATTTTTATTTTCTTGTTTAGATTTTATTTATTTCATTAGATTTTTAGGTAGTTTAGTTATTAAATCAAAACCCCCCCATTTATCGCTTTTTATAATTTCAATTAATACGAAAAAAATTAACAATTTGATTCACACTCCTCGTGGGATCGACCCTTGCTCGCCACTACTACTAGTTAGTAGAGGTTAGTCGAGGAAAATATAAATATTAATTTTGCCGCGTTGCGACGTGCGGTCAAGTTATTAAATTATATTTATTTAATCATTATATTATTTATATAACAAATTATTATATTATTTGTATTATAACATATATTTACTTAATTATTATATTATTTATTATTTAACTACAATTTTTTTATATTTTTATTTTAATTATTTTTTTTTCGTTTAACATAATAAGTTATTTAAATTATTTTTTACGTTTAATTTTATATAATTTAGTTTATTATATTTGAATTATCATAACTTTTTATTTTAATATTTAATTTAATATAATTTGTATTATATTCTAAATTTAATTTCACTTATCCATAACAATGTTCATATATATCAAACATTCCTTGTCCTAACACTCAACCTTGAGTGGTATAGTGGTTGCATTGCTTGTCTTGCTCCCATGAGGTACTAGGTTCGAATCCTAAGGGCTGCGATTTTTTTTAATTCAATTTCTCGCGATATATTCAATATATCGTGATAAATCAATATATCGTAAATATATGTATAATATTCAGAGGGTATAACGGGACTTTTGAAAAAAAACTAACGCCGTTAACGGAGAAATAGAGACAAGGAAGCGTGTGCACTTGAACCCTTAATAGAAGGGGGTATGACGCAATTTTTAAATTAGAGGGGGGAAAGGCGCAGATTTAGTATAATACAGGGGGGTTTGGTGCATTAAACCCCGTGATTAATGCATGCGTGTGAACCATGTAACCCTCGTTGTGAGTTGTATGTCCTTCGAGCGGTTGTCCCCGTCGTTGTGAGCTGTATGTCCTTCGACGGTGCCTTTTGATAGGCAGTCTCCCTAGCCTAATGACAGGCAAAGCCGATGTGAGCTGTATGTCCTTCGGTATTTTACTCCCATTGTTGTGAGCTGTATGTCCTTCAATGGCTAATGGTAGATGTGGACATGAGTAAAAATGTATGATTAGGAGATGTGATAATTGATTGATTCGTTTTCATGCTGCAACCATGCCTAACTGTTATTGTATATGATTTATTGCATAGTGGTGAGCTCTACGATTTCCAACTGTGCTTATCCCCACCTGAAATTAACGTTTCAGGTTAAGCAAGGCGGGCACAGCGGCAGGATGGCAAGTGGATTGTCATAATTATGTTTAAATTTGCTTCCGCTTTATTATTAATAAATTAACCCGGATTTATGAACTCGAATTGCTTGGGTTTTGAATATGTTGATTTCTTTCAGACCATGTCGTTTGAAAATGTTGGATTTGAACTTGTGATTTGGTCGAATTTTTATCTATGTTTTGGATATTCATGTTGGATGTGTTATTTGAACATCATGTTATTTGTTATGATTTAGGACAATGAAGTCCATGTGAAAAACCGGGTAATGAATTCCCGTGAGGTTTCAAATATGACATGAAATAAGATAATGCCCTATTGATGTTGATTTCGAAAAAATAAATTTCGAACATGGTAACTTGATTTTTGAATAAGCCATGGATGATTTCTTAAATCAAAGTGGGGCGTTACAAAAACACCGACGAGTTAGATTTATTCTTCAGCCTTGGAAAAGAAGCTCAAGAAGAATATGTTTAGATGAAATTGGGTGAAAATATTTGGTTATGTGTGACATGAAAAACTTGGTACCTTACCTATTATTTTGGACTATGAAATGTTGGTCATTGTATGGTTTATTATGTATGTGATCTTTTGGATGATTTATCACGTTTAATGTTTAGAATGGTAAGTATGACATTTATGCCAATGCGTGAAAGATTTGGTACATTGGCATTTTATTTTGTCTATGAACAGTGCCCATTGTACGATTGATTATGTATTTGATGTTTTGGATGATTTATGACGTTTGCTATGAACGGTTTGGCTGTTTCATTCCTGGGTACTTGGTTTGTTGTGGAAAGGTTTTGCGGTTCCTTTTAGGTGAAGTGTTAGGTGAATTTTTGTGTACTGTGATTTTGAAATGAATTAAGCAGAGCTTTGCTTTTCATAGGGTTTCATTTTAGTTTATGAATTTGCACTTTGTGTACATTTTATTAAGCAGGAGCTTTTGCTTTTCAATTTAGTTTATGAATTTTTGTGTTGTGTAGCTTTGAATATTTTGTTTTTCTTTATTGAAGCTATGTTTGGTAGTAAAATTATATGTCCTCGATTTATATTTCTATCCCAGTATATGTGAAACTTTGCAATTGTGACATTGTTGTTACAGTTTGGACCTTTCTCTTTCTTTTTTTTTTTTTCTCTTTGCTTTATTTCTGCTAGTACAAATCCCGTGCGATGCACGGGGTATGAGATATTCGTTAATATTTATAAATTAAAAATTCTCATTAAATAATATTTATAAATGAAAACCATAGAATCAATATGTAATACAATGTACCTATATTAATTTATTGAAAATGTTATATAAAATTTAAATAGAGCAAAATTACATAAAAATGTCTATTTAAAATTAATACACAACCTGTGCGTTGCACATAACTGATAATAAATTACATTATATTCGTTTCAAAATATGTGTCATTTCAAAATTTATATTCAAAAATTTGATTTGACTATAAAGTGATTCCATAAAATAATTATTTTGGTAAACTTTTATCATATATTTAAAGACCTATGTGAATAATAAGTATAAATATAAAACTTATTTTGTTTCATTAATTAAAATAAATGTATTTTTTTATAAATAATTCCAATCAAAAAATTTAAGTAGTTGAGTAGAAACAATTAGTAATAGCATTTTTTATGGAAAAAAAATAGACACTCTTTATCATGCTAAAAAAATTGAACAGTGCATTTCACACTAAAATTATTTGAAATGCCGTAGAAGAAATTGATTAAATCGAGGCCCACTAACTATACAAAAAAAAGTTGACCATAATTTTTTCTACAAAAAAAAACATCAATACACGCACATTATATGAAAGTATCCGTTCATATTATTTTCTCTGAGTTACAATAATTTTATTATGCTAATTTCATACGAAAATTGAAATAAAAATTGAAACCCAAGCCTAAAAACCGTATTGATTAATTTTTCAACAAATTTGAAATTTCCTGCGAAAAAACATCAAATAACCTAAATAAATTTACTCACTTTATACCATATACTGATAAATTAATTTCTCATAGAAACAACCATCAATACCAAAAATAAATTCGTCCACTTTATACCATATATTAATTAATTCGCATGATTGGGAGCGATCTACATTTCTCATTTGGGAGCGATCTACATCATATGATCTTCTGATTTAATCTCAAAACTGAATTCCTTACCTTGATTCTATATCATCCCTTTCATCTTTAACCAGTGCATAGTATTATTTCGGTCTAAATATATGTTAATCCAAAGGAAATTAGGGTTCTATGGGGACCCCCAGTTGTGTTGGACAAGATGAGGAATTGACCCAAAAGCTGCAGAGTTTCTCCCTGTCTGAAAAAAGAGCATTCCTACATCGATATAAGAAGAGATGACATCAAGCTTAGCGCAGACGAGTGCAACCAGAGCCTTTTCGGGAAAGTTGTTAGTGACAGAAAGACTAGCTGGATTGGGGTCAAGCGGTGTAACGCCCCACTTTATTTTAAAGGATTTATCGAATTTATTTAATAAAAATCACAATAAATTTTTCGCAAACTTTAATTTAATTAATACTCAGTAGGCGCTACTCAAATTTTACCAAAAGCCTTTAATAAAAAATGCAAACGTATCAAATAAAGACATCATGCACGAATAATAAATCATAAACCAAACTGGCATTCATTAAGTTTCGAATCATAAACATAATTCACAATTCTAAGTTCAAAACGACACAGTTATAATATCTCAACATAAATGAGCGGAAGCAAATAAATAAGCGACAAATAAACGCATGACCACCACCCGTCTTGTCTCGTCACCCGCCGACTGCTTAACCTGCATCAGTTACGAGCAGGTGGGAGTGAGTACAGTTAACTATCGTACTCACACTATGCATATGAATAACATAATAATGGTATGGTCGCAGCATGAACATAAACAATAAAATCATGTCACATCTCTAGCCACATCAATGACTATAGTCTCATCAAAGACTCACTCATGTACATCTATGCTCATCAAAGCTAAGCCATGCCATATCAGTGAAACATGGGAGTGCGTGCCACATCAATGACACGGCCTTCTCATAGGTCTTAATGAGATTTACCTCACGGGGTAACCGTATCTTATCATACGGGGACAACCGTATCGACGGCCATCAAGCTCACATCGATAGGCTACATGTTCATTTTCATACATAGATCACACCAAACTTTCATCACAATTTAAATCACACATATGCATAGATAATTTTAGAATAACCCACCTGGAAATTTCGGATTGATGATAGCAAATCAGAAAAGATGAGGACCGAGGCTCGACTCCTCAAACACCTACATTATGCCAAGATCCTACAATTAGAATCTATCTCGACTTAAACTGGAAATCACAAGACAGACCTAGTCGAACTCGTTTCGACTAAGTAGTTCGTGAAGTCCTGTGGATGTGGAACCCTAAGACTCGGCACTAAACTCAACCAAACCACTTAAGGGAGTTCACAAAAATCCATCTAAGGTTTGACCAAGTCAAATTCACAACAAAAACCAGCAAGCAAGTCAATTCAACTTCCACATAACAATTATACTCGAAAATTGAAATCATTTAATCGCGTGAAAAATAGTTGATCAAGATATCCTACGAATTAAGCTCTGAAAATTTATACAAAATTTCATCTCCCAGAAATATGTAATATCACAAAGTTTCAGCTTTAAACTCAACATACCCTATTTTATAAAATTCAAACAGTAATTCAGCAAAAAGGGCACATTAATCCATACTCAGACTTAGTGAATGAATTTGAACCTGAAAATTTTACACAGCAACATTCAGTATGCCAAAGTTCACTTATAAAATTTTCAGCCTTAAACAATAACTGCTCCTATTTTTAAAAATTCAAACAAGAAACAGCAGTTTATTGAATTTAAATCCAAACTGAAACCAAACGGACTCTAAAAATTTTCATATTTTACAGACATGATGAAACACTTAAAATATGACTCCCAGTAAAATTTCAGAATTTTCCACGCAGTAACCGATTTTTAAAAATTAAAACATCCTTTCTGCAGAATCAATAAATAAAATATTACCCATATCAAATCAACTCCAAAAATTCTGAAAATTTAACACAACACATATAGGTCACAGAGGCATGACATATTCGAATTTCAGCTCATTTCAGACAAGTATGAATTTATTATGTATTTAACAATATTCTGGACGGAATACAAATTAATTATTAAAAATAGCTACAGGACTCCAAAAATTACGAAAATTTTACACAAGGCAGGCAATGAACAGATAACACATCTCTCAAAATTTCAAATCGTTTCGAGTAGCGAGCTATTTTTAAAAATTCGAACACCGAAACAGCAATTCACAAGCTCGACAACTTGGCAATTAAATCACAACATAAAATTTCTCGTCCGAGGCCTTCCCATAAGGCCAAGGACTCGACTTTGTTCCAATATCCACCGACTTACACGAGTTTCGAGGTCTCGTTCGATTTTTGAGAAAATCGAAGAGGTCCCGAACACACGAACACATAAAATCACATAAAATCATAACAATATATATATTCGCGCTTATCACATCAATAAATTCACATCATACATAACAGGAACACTTCACGAACATGAACGATTCAACGAAACATATACGAATTAAACGAGATGGAAAAACGACGAGGTACCGTTCGCGGAAATAACTCGAAAAACGAAACGAACACGAACGGGCTCGACGGTAAACTCGTCTCGCCGGAAAAAGAGAAGGGCTCGACGCACGGGAGGAGCTTGCTGCTGGTCACCGGTCGTCGGGGAGGTCACCGGAATTGCAGGTTCACGGCGAGGGACGTCGGGCTACTCGAACTCGCCGGAAAGACGCGCACGGGGATGGTGGCGTGAGGAGAACGGTTCGCCGGAACTTGTGGAGAGAAGAGCTCTCGCCGGAAACGCAGCAGGGTCGCCGGAAGAGATAGTCACGCCGGCGATGATGGTGGTGGCACGAGGATGAAGATGAGGATGATTCGTGAGGGAGATGATGACAAGATGAGATTGATCACAAAGAAAAAGAACAAAGCTGCGGGTCTTCTTGGAGAAAAAAAAAACGTGATGGTGATGTGATGATATATATATATATGTATATGTATCATATGTGTAATAGTATTAGGATTAGGAAAGAGTTGTTGTCCAAGACAAACACAAACTCCCACACAAACACAAATTCTCACACGTTAGAAACAAAAGAGAAGGGAAAATCTGTCGGGCCGGGCCCGAGAAATTGGGTCATACAGATTTTGGGCCAGTTGGGACATTTAAATCGGCTCACGGGCTCAATTAAATATTTAAACGAATATTTTCGGGCCCAATTTCGGTTCCAACAAAAATCCTCGGGCTCGATTTCGAATGTAAACGCGCGATAAAAATAAACCGAACAGTATATATATATTTTACATATTTTTAAATACACATTATTCATATTAATAAATCACAAAATCAATTAAACAATTAGACAAATAGATAAATATATTGGCATTCAATAAAATAAAATATAAATATCACTACCAATTAATAATAACAATAATAATAGCAATAAAAATAATAAAAATAAATCCCAAATAATCCACAAATAAACGGGGCATTACAGTCTACCCACCTTACGAAGAATTCCGTCCTCGGAATTCGAACAACAAACTACAACGAGATTCTAACTACAAATAAGAGGAGACAACATCACCACATGAAATTCAGGTGCTTCCTCCGAATTTCGATCTCCCTCTCCTAAGTCGCCTAGCCTTGACCACCCTCCCACTGGACTTGACGAGTACCCCTCCCAGCCTTATCCTATGGACCCTCTGATCCAATAGGTTACCGGTACCTCCATAGAGGTAGGGTTCTGCCTATCACGCAGCTCGTCGCGTCTCACATATACTCCGAGATCACGCACACGTTTCCTCCATCAAGAGGCACAGAACGTGTCATGCATCCTCGCGAGTTCCGGTGGTAGAGTCAACCATCAGGCTAAGTCATCGACTTGGTCTGGAATCAAAAATAGGACTGAGTAGCGTGGCAGTAACCAGACAATGGCATACTCCACCTCTATCCGTACCAGCCACCTCGCATGGTACCACTAGGGTTGTCGCTAGATAACCATCGTTACCAGCGTACCTCCCTAAGGAAATTTCTCACCCTCTACTCATCTATCAATACACAAGACCCTAACCGGTCCTTACGTGTCTTGATAGTATGTTCCGACATAATCAACATATAGGGTTGACTTGTAGTATCGAGCTTCAGCTCGTGCCCGGGTCACGGTAGAAAACTCGACTACTACGCTGACATGATCCGTGCGTCCTTATAAAACAGGCCGCCACGGAAATCCCATACGAATGGGCTAACAATCCACAATAACACTATATCCTCAACACCGATACCTACAGAACACACGGCTCTGTTTGATACCGTTGTCAACAACTCTTCCCTTGCCGACTCGAATAACACTTCGAATGCGGTTTAGGAAATATCGACTAGATGCTCGAAAACAATCTCCTATCGCAGAATCGGTCTCACGATTAGGGATGCTCGATATTCCCATACTAACGATCTAACACCAATACTCTCTCACTCCTTCGTAGGTCTCGATCCCTACGAAGTATACATAGTCTCCAATCGAGGCTCGGGACACTGCCCGAAAACGATGAGGGACCGAATCCTCGCTATCACGAGAGAATTTCGCACAAGACAAATGAAAACTAATCGACAAGTCTCACATATCGAGATTCGTTGATTAGGGATTTCATACAACGGTTCGGTTTGGGGTTTAATGCACTGTCACCTGAGAGATGACACACACACAGGCGCTGCATAAGCGGGGCGCCAGGACGTGTGCATGCATCTGTTCAGCGACCAGCTGCAAGATCAAGGTTTGGTCGTACACATTGCCTGAGGAGTTCCTGCGTTTGGTGATGGCGGCGGCAGCTCTCGTGCGAGTCAACGGTCGGCCACTGCAGTTGGCCTTACGTCTCCCAGCACGGGCATGCGGCTCGACCACCACTTCACGTGGCTACACCATCCAGGTTCGGCGTTCAGTTAAGGCACACACCAAAAATTTCTATTTCCGGGTCCAAAGATTCCTAGATACTCAGATAGAAAAAAGGTTTCCTTACAATACTTCTCAAAATACAACAGTTTAAGCATTACTGTTGAGCTACAATTTCCCATAGGAATCAAACATTGGCACACTGCCCGGAAAAATCCTAACCTCGGCGGTCATCGCCGAACATTAGAATGGTTAGCTCGCTTGACCCTTCCGACTAATAATGTCGGACGTCACGATAGCATTTACTCAAGTAGCTAATCGTGCCGACGGTCCTAAACGAGATCAACCACATATACAACTATAG